TTCATACCTTGACCCCCAGAAAGGAGTAGAGTTCGTATGAATCAAAACCTACAGGAGGAGGTGGCCAAGATAAATGGACATGAATACGCTGTGGAAGGTGGGGTGCAGAGGAGTGAAAGGAAGGACCCCCAACCCACCACTGCTAGAGGGAACAGCTGTGGGTGGGACTTGAGGTGAGTGTACGTTTATCTGGACCTGGGGAAGGGACTTTCAGGTCTCAACAATGCCTCTATGAGCCCCAAGGGCATGTCACCTGTGAACCGCATGCAGCCCAAAGCACCCAGGTGTGTTCCGCATGGAAAAGCAACATTTGAAAACAGGCAATGGAACATTTGAAAACAGGCAATGGAAGAGCCTTGGGTTTGCCAAAAGATTCCCAACAGTTTTTCATTAATAATACCACTGTCTCTGTACCTTTTCTGTAGGATATTAATGATGCTACAAGAAAATGAAAAAAAAAAAGATCAGATACATTTGAGAGAATTAGACAGGTATCTTTACTGCAATCTGTCTCGAAGGCAGGAATACCATATGTCATCAGAACTAGGAGGCACGCTCAATTGGAAGATACATCAGTATTTTATGGATTACTAAGGAAGAAAAATTGTCCAAGTTGGGAAGTCTCATGGTCCCACTTCATGGGCAGTCTCCATAAAGCGGCAACAGTAAAGGCTATGCTTTCTATGTAGGACACATGAGAAATAAACCAACCCCAAGAGGGACAGCAAGGAACCCTCCAGGCTCCTCCTAAGTGCTGGAGGAAGGAGGAAGAAATTCAGAGAACTGCCCTGAACTAATCATTGGATAATTGCTGGTCCTCAACCTAGGGTCACACGGCTGGTGTGGTCTCCAAGGGGTTTCAGGACCTGGTGCCAAGGTGAATGGCAGAAGCAAACGCCAGCCCTTCCTGGAAGAACTCAGGTCAGTCCAGGCCAGTGGTGATGGCAAAACCCCAGTTGTGAGATGGTGCCTGATTTCAGGGGTGTTCGAATGTGAGAAAATGTGCAATTAGGCATGGTGGGAGACTCACTTGCCTGTGAACCCCATTGAGGGACAGCGTGTAGCCCTGCCCATTCCTTCCCATGGGGGCTGTCCCTGTGCCGACAGGCAGTAGTGACCACAGTTGTCACCATTTGTTGAGTGCTCACTCAATGCCAGGCGCCAAGCTAGGGACTCTGCGCCATTAGCTCCTGTGTATCTCTGCTGCCGAGACAACCTCAGTACTGCTGTGCCCAGCACAAAGAGCCACTCTCTGGAGGAGACACACAAGGCACAGCTACCTTCTCCTCGTGCATGCTTGCCTCTAATATCCTGAAGGTGTTGCCCATCTAGCATTCTTCCAGGGATGCCACTAGGCCTGCTGAACATAGCACATTTCCAAAAACACAATTTTTCAGTAAAAAAGAGATCTAAGTGTCTGTTGCTTAAATAGAGGCCATTTCTGGGTCAAATTATTATTTTTTAAAGATTTATTTATTTATTTATTTATTTACACAATCACTGGGTACAGTCAGAAGCACAGGAGGGTGAGAGAATTCACCAGAGCCAGAGCGGGGAGCAGAACAGGCAGACTGACGAAATACACTGCTGAGGGGAGTAACGGGTGGCAGGAGAGGTCTGTCGCACCATGTGAGACCCTTGCTGGCGTCCGGGGATCGAACCGGTGCTGCAGAGGCTGCGGGCAGCTTCGCAGCCCAGCACTCAACCGGTGCACCACCAGGGGAGGCCCCTCTGGGTCAAATTCTGTTTCAGCAGACCCGAAGAGCCTGTGTGAAGTCTGCTGTCCAGTGAGTCTGGCAACATAGGGCTTTCCTTAGCTTCACCCGGCACCCTGTTCTTGCTTTGGGCATAAGAACAAACAATTTAATAACATCTCCCCCAGGATGCCTCCTCCTCTTGTTTGACATGGAATATGCTAGTATAAATATCACATCTCAGGACTAGCATTTTCTAAAACTTCTGCAATATGACCAGGCTCTAAGCACCTTTCTGGTGCATATCCTGTGTTTCCCCAGGTCTGCAGGTCTCAGATCACACTAGCACCCTTTTCACCTACATCCCAACTGTGAGTCCCTCAAGGGCCATCTGGACACTGGAGCCCGAGCCAGTAGTAAATCCCCTCCCTGCAGGAAGACAGCCAACTTTTATTACAGATCCTATCACAATGCAAAGGGCCAGAGTGTGTGTGAGTGTGATTGAACTAATCCTGTCACCGCGTAAATCACTAGGAACGCCACAGGAGGCGATTTGACTTAGGATGCTCATTTTGGGAAGCTGGTCTTCCCACAACATTGGAGCCAAGATGTCACCCGGGCACTTGAACAACAAATGGAAAGTTTCCCCACAAAGGACCAGATCTGTTAATAGAATAAATCCAGATCCCTCCAAATAAAAATTCAGATGCATTTTACCCTCCTCTTAGTTCAGGGTCTGAATCCTTTAATCTACTAAATTACTATGGAAAAGATCTTATCTCTGCTTGTCAAACTCACTGCCGTCAGAGGGCACCCTCTTGGGAGGCATGCGCTTCTTCATAACGTAGGTTGAAGAGGGCCACGTGCTTGAAGGAGCACAACATGAGATCCAGGATGGAGCTGAGAGTCTGTGGCCAACAGGGGCCAGAGTGGTGACAGTCGTCCAGATGTATTGTTGCTAAGTGACAGAGCACAGTCTCCAGTCTAGTCCCCTGACTCAGGCCAGTGTCCCTGCTCTGGGTGCAGCAGGGGGCCATCAGGTTTCTGCTCCTCTTTCTGTCCTACTGGCAGTGCCTGCTGCCATAGGGCAGTCTGTTGTGTTGACCTTGAATCAAGGGGGCAGGGGCGTGTCCAGCGTCTGTAGGAGGGACACAGGGCCCTGCATTCTACAGCCTGGGGCGGGGCTGGAGTGTCTGCCCAGGAACAGGACCCACCTTACCAGAGGTGGGGGGTGGGGGGGTAAGTTGCATCTAGAGTAGAAAGGAGAAGGCCGAGCGGGAAATCAATCCCGGTTCCAAGGGGCCTTTGGCAGGAGTGCTGTGAACACGGATCTGGTTATCCCTGACAGGCCTCCCGCCACGCCTCCTGTTCTCCCACCTCCATTCGGGATGACTCACGCCTGCAGAAGGGATGAATCATGTGGGTTACGAAACCAAAGGGCCTCTGAGAGGCAGGTTGGAGAAGACCTGGGGAAGCCGTTCCACCGATCCTGCTCTCTCCCTACGCCCTCCTGCGCCTTATCACCTACCCTCATTCTGCCAAGTCTCAGACCAGCGAATTCTGTAGAACATTCCAGAGAGACTGTCCATCAGAGGAGTGGTTTTCTTTCCACCTCAAGGCCTTCTTGGCCTACTCTGTTTCCCTCCTTGTATTAATGAGGGTGAAGGGTTGACTTTCCACAGAGCGCCAGTTCTGGCCAACAGAACACAGGGGATGGGAGTGAGACCCTGACAACCTCACCTCTCACCACTGGCTTGTTCCCGAGGTGAGTGGTGAGCTCTGTGTTCTGCAGAGAGCTCCACACAGACATCTCAGGACTACAGGTAGCTCCGGGCAGAGCAGGGGCAAGGATGATTCAGCTCACTTTCCCACTGACTGGTCCCAGCTCAGTGGGGGCTTTTTTTGGACAGATGCTTGGATCGGGAAGATGTGGGATAGAAACATCATGGACTAGGACGAGCTATAAAAAAAAAAAAAAAAATGAACTGTTGCCATTTGTGACAACATGAGTGGAACTGGAAAGGATGATGCTTAAGGGAAATAAGTCACAAGAAGAAACACAAGTAACAAATAGTTTTATTTAGATGTGGAATACATAGAAACAAACCAAGGGTCACAGACCAAACCAACAAGAAGTCCGAGAAGTCTGGAATTGAGGCTTCCGGAGGCTGGAGAGCAGGGCCTGGAGGAGGCCCCCCAGACTAAGGTGCAAGACTACCAGGTCTTGGTGGTGGGTGCCAGTGGTGGCATCTGGGTCCTATATAGTGTTGCGGACTAGTGCTACCCCAAGAAAAGAAACCCCAAACAAACCAAAGACACCCAAGAGAGCTTAATTTGGGGAGTCGGGAAAAGATTAAAAAAAAAAAGTAGGATGAAAAAAATTCAAAGCACTACAAACTCTAAAAATAAAAGTCTCCACGCCTTGGACACCACACCCTGGACACCTTGGACACGTGGCGGGCCTGGGCTCATGAAAACAAACGTCTGTCCACAGCGTACTGTAAGGCAAGAACTCACGTCATCCTCAAAGCGGCTCCGGTGACTGCGCGGCCCACTTGCAGGTGGGGCGCCCTGCAGGGCAAGCATCCCACAGACGCAAGCAAGCGGGCAGTTTGGGGGTTCGCCTGCAGAGCCTGCCTGCGGGAATCCACTGCAGCCGGGGGCTCCGTCTCTCACCGAATCCAGCCAATGTGCCAAATGCCGGCCCCACGCCATGTGGCCCTCCTGTCCGGCAGGCCGGGCCCCACAAGGCCATGCCCAGGTCTCACCTTGCGGCTTCTTTCTCCCAGAACCCAGACCCCCGGCACCCCCGCGGGCTCACGCCGAGGCCAGCAAGGCCAGGGGGGCGTCCCAGACCCCTCCGGGAGAAGGCAGCCTGCAGGATGCCCGCGGGCGCGAGGCCGCTGGCCGGAGCCCGCCGTCCGGGAGCGGGGACTCCCCTGAAATGCCCCCGGAGAGCCCCCGGCTCCCAGTAGCACACGTGGGGTCGGGCCCCCCCAGGGCCCGCGTCCCAAGAGCCCCAAAGTCTGCGGGAAGTTCCCCGGTGGGGGGCGTTTCGGGGCTCCCCGCGGCCGCCGCCCGCGCCGCCGCGGGGTCCCCGGGGTGGCGGCGGGCCCCGGGGCGGCCGCCCGAGCGCGGGCCCAGGGGCGCCCCCGGGCCGCGCGGGCGGGAACGCGCCGCGGCCGCCTGCTCCTCCCCAGCTCCCGCCCGCAGCGGCGGCGCTTCCCGGCGCGGAGCGGCTTTAAAAGGCGGCACCCCACCCCCCGGCGCATTCGCCGCTCGGGCGCCGCGCGAGCCTCCGCTGCCATGCCTCCGCGCGCGCCGCCCGCGCCCGGGCCCCGGCCGCCCCGCATCGCCGCCGCCGCGGACGCGGGGGGTGCCGGCGGGCCCGGGCTCCGGCCGCTCGCGCCGCGCGCCTGGCGCTGGCTGCTGCTGCTCGCGCTGCCCGCCGCCTGCTCCGCGCCGCCGCCGCGCCCCGTCTACACCAACCACTGGGCAGTGCAAGTGCGGGGGGCCCGGCCGCGGCGGACCGCGTGGCCGCGGCGCACGGCTACCTCAACTTGGGCCAGGTGAGTGCGGCCGGCCCCGCGCGCCCAAACTTTCCCCGCCGCGGGCGGGCGCGGCGCGAGGGGGCGCCTCCACCGGCCGGCGCGGGGGCTGGGGGCCCCGGGCGCGCGGGCGCGGGGTGGCGGGGGCGCCCGGCGGGGAGGCGCCCGGGAGCGCGGCGCGCCGGACGCTTGGGGCGCTCGGAGGGGAGCCCCAGGGGGCCCCCGCGGGCCGGGCGCGCACCGGGGCGGCTGCCCGAGCGGGGTGGCCGGGCGCTGGCGCTGGCGCTCCGAAGTGGGGCCCCGCGCGGACACCTGCCCGGCGGGGCGCCGCGTCCCGTGGGGCGCTGTCCTCAGTGCCCACCCGGCGCCCTCCGACCTCTCGGCCCCGACTCTCCCCTTCGATGGGCGCGCGGCGCGGGGCCCCGGACCCTGAGCTTGTGCCCGGGCGCCGGGCGGCTCGTTGGGGGACGCGCGTGGGGCCCGGCGTTTGGGGATCCTAGCTCTGTCGGCGGCCGCGACTCGCGCGGGGAGGGCTGCGGGGCGGCTGCGCTCCCGCGGCTTTGCCCCAGACTCCGACCCCGAGGCGCTCCCGGGGCTGGAGGTGCTGGGGCTGGAGGTGCTGGGGCTGCTCCGCCCGCCCCTCCAGCCCCCCAAGGGACGCAGGAGGTTGCTTTGTTTCCGAGCTTCTGCCGCGGTTTAGGTCGCCAAGCGGCCCTCTGCTCTGCGCGTGCTGGTGGATACCAGTGGTGTGACCTTGGACAAGTCACTTCTCCCTGTGATATTCACCTGTAGGGCCGGGGACCGTGTGTTCTGCGCGCGCCTGTGGGATGATTCAGTGCTGTGGCAGCAAAGCACAGGCGGGGAGGGGTGGGGGCTGGTGACCCTGGCCAGAACCTGGAGACCTCTGGTGGCCTCAGATGTCACTTGTACTGTCAGCGAGCAAGAGAGGACAGCCCTAGGCTGGAAAGGGCAGAACTCCAAGGGACCTCCAAGGCAGGTCTCAGTTTCCTGCCCCAACCCTGTGGAGTGGCTTCTGGGGGTAGAGGTGTGGGTGGGAGTGTGGGGTCCAGGCTGATGAGGCTGACCCTGATTTACAGCCAGCGGAGCAGGCTCAGCAGGCTGAAATGAGTGGTCCCACCAGGGCCCTCTTGGTCCACTTAACAAATCTCCTACAAACTACACTTTTAGAGGATCCAGTGAAGTGACAGGGAAGTGCAGACTCATAACTCAAACCCTAGTGCCAGGCAGTGTTAAATTTAGTTTCATCATTACCCATGACAGGAGCCAGCAAAGTGTGGTACGGCCCTAATATAAATGCCATTTTGTCTGCATCCGGAGTCCAACTCAGATGCCAATAACGTGAAATGTGTGGCCTTCCGGAAAAGTAGATTCTGCCATTGGAACTGCACCTCACCAGGCGGGCCAGGGTGTGTGGAAGGATGCTGTCGTATCTTTCGGACATAGATATTTTAGCCACGCAAGTCTCTTCAAACATCTTGTGATTTAATATTTGCCTTTGGGGAGCACTGACTTGCTTCTGTCTGTAGTTGCTAAATCTGCCTGGCTGATGGTCCAGACTGAGGACCGTGTTCCTGAGGGTTCCATCCCCATTCATTGCTTCTCGTGTTTTCCCAGGGCCCCCGGCTTCTGCCACACTTCAGTGCTTTGCCCAGGTGGCCCAGTGATTTGTCTTTAGCTAAAAGTGACTTTTAAACTGCACGGTCAATTACAAAGCACCTGGGTTTCTAGCTCCTATAATTAAAAGAACAGAGGGGAGCAGAGGTTGAACTGTGAGCTCCCAGGGCACTGCAGGAGAGAGGGATAGGATAGACGCCCCCTGACATTTCCTGTCCCTGGGAGTCAAAAATGTCAGATCTTTGAGAGCGTTCTGTCAGACTCACCGAGCTGTGTCTTGCACGCAGTCAGCAGTCTTCATTTTGCATGGGGGAGAGAAGTTCCTTCTGGCCTGCACCCCCTCCATCTGGGACATCTGGGGAGTCAGTCTCTCAGGTCTCCCCAGCTCTGTACAGTGCAGCCATGGCTGACTCCACACAGCCTGGTCACTAGCTTGGTAGGCCTGGTGCTGGGGCGACATTGCGGAAGCTTTCACAGACTGAGGGATCAGTTGGGGATAGGAGCTGTCTCAGAGGGGGGCCTGTCTGTATGACTCAAGAGGGGCCTGGTACTCTATCCCCAAACCAGCTTTTCGCCCCCACCTCCTCCAGCGCCCTGCTAATGTGGAAAAGGCCTGGAGCATTCCAACTTCTACTCAATAAGAACTCTTTAAAAATCTTATTTGCTTTTTTCCGCCAGGAGAATTTGTGACTCATAAATAAGATGTAGATATTATTAGCTTTGATTTATGGATGAGTAAACTGAGGTGCAGCAAGGGATGGAAGCTGTCGGTGTCCACACAGTATGTGTGTGTCACCTCTGACAATGAGACTCCCTGCTCTTTGTCTCCTTCTGCCTCCTCTGGTCTAAGGGATCCTTTGTGTGAGACTCTCCCCAAGCCCTTAAAGAGCAATTAGAGGTAGGCTTGGTACCTGCCCTGACTCACTGCCCTAGGTCTTTGCAATGCTCCAGCTTCTGGCTTGATTGTTTTACTTTCTTTCATATAACCTATAACCTGATTCTGTTTCTTTTACGTGGTGTGAGGTCATTTAGACCAGTGGTTATCCCTTTTCTTGAATCATGGATCCCTTTCAGAGTTGGCTACAGACTCTGGATCCTTGCCACTGAAGAATATGCATTTCCAGGAACGAGACAAAATAGTCTCTTTTTGGCCCCTCTTTTCATTCATCATTGCACTGCAGCCTCCAGATAAAGCCACACCATTAAAAAAAAAAAAAGAAAAACTTTTTGGAAGAGTCAAATGTCACTATTGACAGATAAGATGACTAATTTGCATGAATAATCCAAGAGAATCTAGAGGCTATAATAATTAATAAAAGAGTTAAGTTGGGTTGCTTGACCCACAATAGGTACCAATATATCAGCAACATTCAGAAGACAGACAAAATTGTAATTCAGTCTGGCATAAAAGCTATTAGGTATTAGAAATAAATATAAAAAATGTGAGATGTTCAGGGAGAAAATTACAAAATATTTGAAAGAAGTGTTGAAAAAAGAAGGTTTGACTGATGAAGAGATACATTCATGGATGGGAAGGTTGATTATCACAGGTTCCCCCAAATTCATCTGCCAGTTCAGTGCAATCTAGTTGAGGTGCCAGCAGGACTTTTTTTATGGAATGTGATATCACACAAGTGAATTTTAAATTTCCTATCAAGAGTAAGATCCCAGGATACCTGGGATGACTCTGAAAAGGAAGAACAGGAGGGAATGTGTGCTGGCAGAGAGAAAATCTTAGCATACGCGTGGGTGATACCAACATCTGACATTGATCCAATGAAGGTTCCACCCATCGTGGAGTCAACTCAAACCCAGGCTTAGATGGGAACTTGCATGTGTGAGCAGAAGAGTTACAAATGGCCAGGGAAGGATGGAGGATGCAATAAAAGGTGCTGAAAGAAGAGACTTTCCTGTTGGGAAAAAGGTCAGCTCCCATGTCACACGCACAACTGTTCATCCCAGAGAGGCTCAAAGACCAGAATGGAAATGACACTTCTAGAATTAACAATAGTGGAATGCCTATGCTGTAGGGAGAGGAAAGGACTTCTTAAACAAGCTACAAAAAGACCAGTTTAAACAGGTAGAGACATGGGCCTCCCTGGTGGTGCAAGGGGTTAGATGCAGCACTATGAAGCTACCTGCAGCCTCTGCAACACAAGTTCGATCCCTGATTGGCCAGAGAGCTACTCACATTGCAGAGCAGACCTCTCCTGACTTGCCCGCTGCTCCCCTCAGCAGTGTATTTCGGTCCTTCTGCCTGTTCTGTTCCCTGCTCTGTCTCTGGTGAATCCTCTCACCACCCGGCATCTCTGGCCTGTTTACCAGAGGTGTATTTATTTATTTATTTATGAATAAATAAATCTTTAAAATTAAAAAAAAAAAAATAAACAGGTAGGGCCTCCCTGATGGCGCAGGGGTTAAGACACAACCTATGAAGCAATCTGTAGCCACTACAGCATGAGTTCGATTCCCGGCCGGCCAGGGAGAAACCCACATGGCGCAGCAGACCTCTCCTGACTCGCCCATTGCTCCCCTCAGCAGTGTATTTCAGTCAGTCTGCCTGTTCTGCTCCCCACTCTGTCTCTGGTGAATCCTCTTACCACCCGGCATCTCTGGCCTATTTACCCCAGAGGTATATTTATTTATTTATTTATGAATAAATGAATCTTTAAAAAAATTAAAAAAAAAATAAACAGGTAGGGCCTCCCTGGTGGCGCAAGGGTTAAGACGCAACCTATGATATCTGCTGACACTGCAGCATGAGTTCGATTCCCGGCCAGCCAGGGAGAAACCCACATGGCGGGACAGACTTCTCCTCTCCTCGCCCACTGCTCCCCTCAGCAGTGTACTTCGGTCAATCTGCCTGTTCTGTTCCCTACTCCCTCTCTGGTGAAACCTCTCACCCCCCACATCTCTGGCCTGCACCCCAGTTCTTGTATAAAAATAAATAAATCTTTAAACAAATTAAAAAATAAACAGAGATTAAAGATTAATGTGTTAAAGTAAAAGTTCTGTATAACAAAGGCCCGCCACAGGATTAAAAGGCAAGTAACAGACTAGGAAAAGCATTTATAACATGTAACAAACAGATTAGTGCACAGGTTACTGCATTTATCAATAAGGAAAAGATCAAGATAAGGCAGAAATATGGGGACGTGTACGAATGGGGGATTCGACAAAGAGGAAATCCAAATGGCCAGTGAGCACGAGGAAGGATAGCATCCCTAGCAGTTATGGGGCAGGGCCACTCAGGCAATCTGCAGGTGCCATTTCACACCTATCAGGTTGGCCCCCGTGGACAACGGTGGGTTAGTATCATAATCCGCCAGGATGTAAAGCAGTGAGGACTTTCAGCTGCCTGTGGTGGAAGTGGCAGTGGGGTTAAC